TTAGCTGGGCATGGTGGCGTGTGCCTGTAATCCCAGCGACTCAGGAGGCTGGGGCAGGAGAATTGCCTGAACCCAGGAGGTGGAGGTTGCGGTGAGCCGAGATCGCGCCATTGCACTCCAGCCTGGGTAACAAGAGCGAAACTCCGTCTCAAAAATAATAATAATAATAAAAAAATAAAAATAAAAATAAAAACTGAAGGCCGGGTGCAGTGGGTCACGCCTGTAATGCCAGCACTTTGGGAGGCTGAGGCAGGCAGGTCAGGTGAGGTCAGATTGAGAAACCCAGTCTCTACTGAAAATACAAAACTAGCTGGGCATGGGAATGTACATCTGTAATCCCAGCTACTTGAAAGTGAAGGCAGAAGAATCGCTTGAACCCCAGGGGTGGCGACTGCAGTGAGCCAAGATTGTGCCAAGATTCCTCTCACTCCAGCCTGGGCAACAAGAGGAAAATTCCTCTCAAAAAAAAAAGAAATAAAGAAATAAAAGTGAAAAAATAAAAAACAACTAATAAAATGAGAGGAACTAGAAAAAAGTAAACTCATTACAATAAGAGAACAAAAGCTCTCTTTGTTTTTTTGGGGGGATGAAATTTTACCTTTATTGCCAGCTGGAGTGCAATAATGCAATCTCAGTTCACCACAGCCTCCATCTCCCCGGTTGAAGTGATTCTCATGCCTCAGCCTCCTGAGTATCTGGTATTATAGGCATTCGCTACCATATCCAGGTAATTTTTTGTAATTTTAGTAAAGACGGGGTTTCTCCACGTTGGTCAGGTTGTTCTTGAACTCTATACCTCAGGTGATCCACCCACCTCGGCCTCCCAAAGTGCTGGGATTACAGGCGTGAGCCACCGCGCCCGACCCAAAAGCACGTTTAACATTCTTTTTTATTAGGTTCCATGTAGTGACAGACTCAGTCACTTCTTCCTCTACTTCACTGCCCCACTCCCCACCCCACCCATGGAAAGGGAATAGGGTGATACATGACTAATGGGTCACATCACTGTCCTCCGGCTGAACAGGGGTTTCAAACAGAAGCTAGCCTCTGACACCATGATTATAAAATGCGCCACACTTAGACAGGAGTTTGGCAGCTCTCATTCTCATTGGTAAATTTAAACAAAATTACATTTATTACGTTATAGAGAGAAAGCAACATGTCATAACTTAATCATCTCATCCAGTCAACTCAGTGCTCATCTGCACGCAGGGTCCCCCTCGTTTTCATTGCTGTTTCCCTCCCTCATTCTGCACCCAGCTCTTTCTCACCTTCTCTCTCCATCTGTTTCCTTCTGCATTTCCCACTGAGTTTCTGCTTATTTTATGCCCCTCTCCTCTCCTGCCCCATTCTTTTTTTGAAGTGAGTTTTATTCTTGTTGCCCAGGCTGGAGTGCAATGGTGCAATCTTGGCTCATTGCATCCTCTGCCTCCCGGGTTCAAGGGATTCTCCCACCTTAGCCTTCTAATAAAAAAAATAGCTAGATGTGGTAGCACATGTCTATAATCCCAGCTACTCAGGAGGCTGAGGGAGGAGAATTGCTTGAACCCGGGAGGGTTCACAAGAATGTGATCTTAGCCAAGATCACATCATTGCACTCCAGGCTGGGCAACAAGAGCAAAACTCCACCTAAAAA